CCCTTCTCACCGCCCCAGCTCCACCTCCTCGCACCGCCCCCAGCACCGCCCCGGGGCCGCCCCCTCGCTCAGCCCTCCGGCGGGGCCGAGCGTGGGCGGGACGAGAAACGCAGGTCCTTGGAGGCTGAACCAGGAGTCCGCGCCTGGCGCCGGGCCAATGACAGCCCTTGAGCTCGGCGCCGCTTCGGGCCGGAACTTCCTGCGTTCCAGGCCAGCCAGTCCTAGCCCGGGCCGGGTGTGCGCGCCGGCGTCACTCGTGGCTTTTCCGGAGCCGGGGGCCGGGACCCTGCTCCGTGCCGCGCCCCAGAGACGCGGGTCCGCCCGGTCCGGCTGTGCCCCGCGTCCCGCGCGCCTGCACTAGCCGGGAGCCCGAGGGCCCGCCGCACCTGGGGCCAGGCGAGGGAGGGGGGCACTGGGGGCCCACTCGTCTCTGGCGGCTGCTCTGCGAGACCGGGTCCCGATGGCGGCGGCTGCGGCGCTCAGGGACCCGGCGCAGGTGAGTGCCCAGGTGTATGCCGCGACCCCTACGTTCGCGTGCCCCGCACCTGGACCGCGGAGGTGGGCCTTGTCTGTCTTCTGTCGTCTCCCACCTCTCTCCGGGTTTTGAGTCTGGGAGCGCTGGAGGGGAGCCACGCCCGGTCCGGGGTGCTGAATCCAGGCCGGCGATTATACAGAGCGCTTCCCATTTCCGAAATCTTAGGACGCGAGGAAGGGTTTTCTAGGCACGGGAATCGGCGTGCACAAATGCCTGGAGGTGAGATTGACCTGAGTGTTCCGGAGAGCAGCTGGGAGACAGTGAGCCCCGGAATGGCGGGCTGAGGAGCTTGATCTCTATTCTGACTGTGTTGGGAGCCATAGATGGGTTAGAGTAAAAGAGGAAACACCTGACTCGGGTCTTGACAGGCTCCCTGTGGATGCAGAGTGGAAAATTGACTTGGGGTAAGGGTGGAGGCGGGAAGACCAAGGAGTCCGCTATTGCAGTAGTTCGGATGAGTAGTGCAGGTGGCTGGAGGTAGAAATGATTGGGTTCTAGATCCGCCTTTTAAGTCAGGCTGACCAGATTTTCTGATGTGGAAGGTGAGAAGGAAAAGGAGTGGTTTTTGGCTTCAGCAGCTGGAAGGATGGATTGCCATCAACTGAGATGGGGAGGTTGGGTGTAGAAGGAATATTCAATATAAAAGTAGAAGTGAGGCTTTGGCCCTTTTGAGCTCTGATGTTCTAGAGACGCCTGAATGGAGTTGAGTGGGCAGGTAGACACCAATTTTGGTGTTTTGGTGAGGTATAGTTAAGGTTATGAGAGACCGAATACACAAGAGGACAAAGGCTAGACCATACATAAAAATAGAATTCTGACCCACAACCTGCAGGGACCTGCCCAGGAAACCAACCTCTTTATCTACAATAAACAACCCAGGAAGCAGCCTGCTTAAATTAGAGTTCAGGAAGCCAGATTGCTATCTCTAGTGACAATCCAGGAACAATAGTTTCTGTAACAACTGCCCCCAAATGACCAGGGCTTGATTAATAACTGACAGCTTCTGTAATTTGTGTTCCCGCTTCCACCTTGGGACCAAGGAGAGAAAGCCAAATATGCACCCCTAACCCATCACATAGGACGCCCCATTTCTGGTTAGCCTGCCTGCCGCTTCCCCGTGCCCACAGCCCCCAGTCAGGGCACATCTGAAGCCTTCCCGTTTCCTCTATAAAGCTTTCCCACGCCTCTGCCTGCCTTCGAGGTGGCCAAACATAAGTGATGGTAGCGCTCTCCCTTGCTATAGCAAGCTCAGTATAAATACCCTTGCTTGGGGCGCCTGGGTGGCGCAGTCGGTTAAACGTCCGACTTCAGCTCAGGTCACGATCTCGCGGTCCGTGAGCTCGAGCCCCACGTCGGGCTCTGGGCTGATGGCTCAGAGCCTGGAGCCTGTTTCCGATTCTGTGTATTCCTCTCTCTCTGCCCCTCCCCCGTTCATGCTCTGTCTCTCTCTGTCTCAAAAATAAATAAACGCTAAAAAAAAAAAAA